CCTTTAGCTTTTATCCAAAATACTGGTCGAGAAGGCCAGCAATGGCTTTATGATATTGCAATATTTTGGATGCTTTTACACAAAGTGACTTACAATAGCGGAATTGTCACAGTGCCCACAATATTTATAGTGTACAATGCAAGCTTTATTAGAAAGCTAGACTAGAAACAAACTAGAGCAGAGGTGAAAAGCAAAGAATAGAATAGGTCATCCTAAGGTTTTAGATCCAGATGCTGTCTTTCTGTTGAAGCTGCTCACATCAGTTTTGTGGAGTGTTTATGTCCCAAAAGCTGTGCTGTACACCAGTGGTTCTCAACCAGGGGCCCAAGATTACTTATAATGGTTTAAAACTTAAAATGTTACTTCATTTTAAAAGTGTGATTTCTAGACCTGGAAAAAGTCAATGAAATGAATGAAATATTAAAATGCCATAGGCGTTATAATGAATATACATTTCTGTAGTCTCTAAAATATTTTATGAGTTAGAAATTGTGATTAATATGTATTTAGAAAATGTTTTCCCAAAATGTGTTGGGAAACCAGGGGCCCTCTGGCTTGTCAACCACCCCAATAACAATCAGAAAGATTAAATATTTTAAATTGTAAGGACTAGATTAATTGGTGTTTTTATCACCCATATCATCATGAACTCCAATGGACCAATGTCCGTGGCTTTAGTTGCAGTTGCTCTCATTACAGTCAGATCTGTGGGCAGAAATGTGTTCACCTGTTTCGGTGTTGTCTGTTTGGCAATTGTTGTTTTATGGTGTTGTTCACACATGCAGATCTCTGTGGCACATAAAGACATCTGGTAATTTGGTCTGATGTTTAGTATTTTACACCCCCCTTTCATTATTTTTCAAGTAAATTTAAAAGATCAAATAGTGCTGTGTGGCTGCATTCGACCGTGGCTTTGTGTAAATACAGTCATGCTCCAAACAAAGGAAAGGAAGTTTTACAATTGTAATGTAAATTTGGTCCTGTTGCTGTAACTGGTAACTCGCCTCAGACTGCGAGTATGAGGTGAGATCTGGATCAAAATACTTCCATACAAATGTTTTCTAGTTTTTTTTTTTTTTTAAGGAGCAAGATTAGGTGCAAATTCAGAGCTTCTGAATTCTGCATTGAAATTTGGATGTTTCAATTTCCAAATAATGTCTGTCTCAGAAGATCAAAGTGTCTGAGGTTCTGTAATTCTTACAGAGTCAAAATGGTTGTGAACCAGTGCTGTACATTAAAGATTTGATAAATGAACTTGTGATGAGACTTTACAATATGATATACTCCTGTACATTGCCATCTTTGACATATACAAGTCATTTGTAACTACATTAAGAATCCTATACCTACAATTTTATGAATGCTATGAATTGAGACATACTGCTCTTTTTACGTACTGTTTTTTGCCTACTGTGTTGCAGGAAAGTAGGCATATTCAGACACAGGGACTGTCATTTAAGCACATAGATACTGGTTGACTGGGTAGAACAGTACCAAACCAGCATATTTCAAAAGTACTATATATACTGTACAGTATATGTGTTATATGTATATGCTGACAGCCTCTACTGCACTCCATCAAAACATTCGTGAAAAACAAAGGACTGGATTGTAAAGTCATGGACGAAATTGAACCTGCTTTAGAAACTAATTTAACCATCTAGGACCTACAAATTCCTAAGGTTGTTTTGGATATTGTTTATATTTCTGAATGAACTGTCAATCAAACCACATGGAAAGTCTGTTCGGTATATTCTAAACAAAACTTATGTTAAAAGTCTATTCAGCGCTCAATTATTACCAACTCTGTTTGGTTATTTTTCATCAGTAGTGCACACAAGCCCTTTCAGACCCAAAGTTAACACCACCAGTGCCCTACATTATAACCTTTACCTCAGGAATTGAGAATGTTTGCAGCCATTTTTACAGGTTTTGCATGAATGAATTTTTGGAGGAGCAGTGAAGTTCACTGTTTTCCCTCAGCCTTTCCGACCACCCTGTTCCAGTACCAGGCCGCCCAGGGGCACAGCAGCCATTATAAATCCTCTCATTTTTAGAAGTTCCTAGGTTCCTGATGTCTGAAATCGTATCATGCCCATAACATTATCTTTTCATCTGTATAACATCACTTTTGACGGTGTGTTTCCCTTTTTGTGAGCGTGCACGCACATATACACCCAGGTTTATACAGAGGTGCAGTCTTTTCTGGTGCAGTACTTATTTTAATAATACTCCTAAGCCCTAAAACCTTTGGGCAGAGTATAGAATAACTAAACACATACATCTGGTGCGCTCAAAGTGTCTGGGTGACCAGACGCACATGCACACGCTCATTACACATCATTTCAGAGGCAAAATGGAACATTATTTCCTTACTCGCAAGCACTCAGATTAACACAAACTTGCGCACAAACACCTAAGGCGCACACACATAGTAGCTAGCATGGAAACATGGCTGTCACGGCGTCCTTAGGCTCCGCTTTAATAGCTCTGTCAGACAAAGAGAGGAGACATGTGGCAGTACTATGAAAAGCACCATTCAGGGCCAGTTAGACTGCCACACAGCCAGGCCAACTCAGCTTAAGTGATTCTGAAGGCAACTTCACAATACTTTTACCCTGTGGGCCGCATGTAGACGCATGGACTGGACTAAGGGACCGTTCCCTAAAAACATGTAACTTCATGTTACCTTCACCTTCTGCTCATCTGAGTTGAGTCATTAATTTATTTTCTTTATTATATTGGCTTGAGGAAGTTGTGTAAATCTGAGTTTACAAAATCTCTGACCTGAATACCAAAATGACTCTAGAGCTTTCAAGTTACAGCCAGTTGTCTAAATGTGTTATGTCTTTCATAAATGATTGGATTTACTGTTTTTAAACCTTTATGACTGTAATTCCTCCAACAGTTGTGAGTTTTGTGAGTTTTCGCTCTGCGTTCACCAAACTTGGCAGTCCTATAACCTGTTCTGATTTCTGATCACGCACATGTGCTGCACACGTCTCTTCTGTAAGTGCTTGACTCTTAATGTAATTAAAGCTACTCGTTTTTGTCTGTTGTGTCATTGTTTTACAGAGTCTAATATTTTCTCATTTTTTTTAAGTAAGTAAGTAGCTTTGAATAATACAATCTTCCAAGTTATTAAATATAAAATACACTACTATTTAAAAGTTTGGGGTCTGTACAGTTTTTTTTTTTGAAAGACATTAATAATTTTATTCAGCAAGAACTTGTAAAGTTGATTAAAAGTGCTAGTATTTCAAATGAAAAGCTTACTATTTCAAATTAATGCTGTTTTTCTTTTACTTTCTGTCCATCCAAAAAAAAAGAAAGAAAATAAAAAGTCAGTAAAAAATATATTACTGTTTCCACAAAAATATTGATAACATTGATAATAAGAAGAAATATTGCTTGAACAAAAAAAATCAACATATTGGAATGATTTCAGATTTCGTGTGACACTGAAGACTGGAGTAATGGCTGCTGAGAATCCAGCTTTGCTATCACAGGAATACATTTTTCATTTTTCATTTCATTTTCATATATTTTAAATTGTAATAATATTTCAGAATATTATAGTTTTGCTCTATTTTTGATCAAATAAATGCAGCCTTGGCGAGCATGAGAGACTTTCAAAAACATGAAAAAAATCTTACTGACCCCAAACTTTTCATCTGTAATTTTTTGGCTTTTCAAAGCAAACTAGAAATGTGCGCTATATATATTATAAAGAGAATTTATTTTCATGTATGTTCATGTTTTTTTCCTATGTTGATTTAACTATGCAACACACATGTATACAGTTTGTTGCTCTGTAACCGTAAACAGGATATTGCCCTCACAGACATAAACACACACAGTCTTGTAGAGCAGTGCCGTGTGACGCACTCTGACACGAGTACACACACATTCCTTGGCACGACAGTGGCATGTGGGCCACTTAAACAACACTGTCGGCCCCCTGCCTGGCCGACACACCACCACACTCACTAACCACTAAGACGGGGAAGAAAACCCAGTGGAGCCCGGCATTGCTCCATCACTACTGTTTTTCCTCCCTCATCGTAAAAGTTAAAAAGAATGATGGAAGCGAAACTTGAAGTCTGTCCTCTGGGTGAGATGAACCTGGCCTTCTGGAAGAGAGAGCAGTGTGTGTGGGTCCAGCCAGCGGAGGATTCTCAGCTCTCTCAAACGCACTGTGTTTTATGCCATGGTGGCTTAGTCTGTCTTTCATCCATCTGTCAAACACACACACTCATGTATTTGCACAGCACAGTGCATCATAATCAGACTATGCTTTTGTTTCTCGTTTTGAAGCAGTGTCACTTGCAGAGGGTGTTTTATATTAACAACACTCTTTTGTCTTTCGGTTGGATGGGGATTTGGTGCTGGCTGAGGTGGGAACTGCCTGATTTGTACCATTTCGAAAAATTCCCACACTTTCCACATGGAGTGAGTGAGCGTTGGTGAGGTTTACTGTATCAGTGGCGATTAGCACATCAAATTGCAGCAGAACATCAGCGCTCCTGAATCATACCCGTGAAATTACCAGGAAAATTCTAGTTTCTGTTGATATGCTTACGCTTACGGGCATTACAGCAGAGGTATGATTTATCAGTCACTAATGGAAAAGATTAAGTTGTGGAAAGGGTTGTTTCAACTGGTCGTTTGGTCTGTGGATGGTGTCACTGTCACTCATGCATGTGTCTGCTTAAAATGTTTTGACACTTGAGTGTATTTTCTCTCGACTTTTTTCCTTTCTTCGCTTTTCCTAACCTTGTCTTGTTGTTTGTGTTGAATTTGTCCTACATGCTTTAGCTGGGGCGATGGGTAAGTGGAGGCTTTTATTGCTTTCAGACTAGATGTTCTTGTTCGTGAAATTATTTATTTATTTAATTAATGAATGAGGGATGTGGTGTCACACTCGTATGTGGCGTATTGACCTTCCTTTCTTTTAATGTTTCTTTCCGTCCTCTTGTTTTCTTTCTCTGTGTCTGCTGCAGGATGACTTTATGGACTGGTGGAGCAAGTTTTATGCCTCCACGGGTGAGAGAAACAAGTGTGGCAGTTATCTGGAGAAGGGCTTCGATACGCTGCAGGTAAGGCATTGAACTTTGAATGTTGTCCCTCGTGTTCTTCTAAATGTGTATAACTGATTTTCTTTCATACAAACTGTACATAAGCACAAAAGACATTTTGAAGAACTGTTTTTTTGTCCATACGATTAAAATCAGTGTGGTAAAGGGCTTTTCACATGGCATTTAAAGGGATAGTTCGCCCAAAGATGAAAATTCTGTCATCCTCAACCTCATGCCGTTCTAAACCCGTAAGACCTTCGTTCATCTTTGGAACACAAATTAAGATATTTTTGATGAAATCTGAGAGCTTTCTGTCCATCCATAGACAGCAATGTAACTTAAACGTTCAAGGTCATTGTAAGGACAAGGTAAGTCCTTATAAAGTAAGGACATTGATAAAATAGTCAGTGTGACATCAGTGGTTCAACCGTAATGTCATGAAGCTACGAGAATACTTTTTGTGCGCAAAGAAAAAAATTAGATACTTCATTCCACAATTTCTTCTCTTCCATGTCAGTCTTCACCACGCTTTCATGAGAGTACCGCGACGCATGCATGTGATGCTGCTGATGCAGGAGCCGGCGTTCTGACGTAGAAAGTACATGCCCTGCGACTTGTTTGCAAGCAGAGGAATGCACATGCATGCGTTGTGGTACTGTTGTGAATGCGCGTCGAAGTCTGACACGAAAAATAAAGTTATTTTGAACAGGTCAGTTACATTGCTGTCTATGCAGGGTCAGAAAGCTCTCGGATTTCATCAGAAATATCTTAATTTGTGTTCTGAAGATAAAGGTCTTACAGGTTTGGGACGACATGATTGTGAGTAATTAATGACAGGATTTTCTTTTTTTGGTGAACTATCCCTTTAACTTTGGGTTATCTTGATTCTAAACTCCACTTTTAACCCCCTGGTTAAGGAATGTTTCACTCTTTTAGCTTATAAACAGCATTAACAATGCTTTTTACCTAAGGTTATGAAACACTGCCCCAGAGAAGGGTTAGCTTTTGTGGTGTTAACTCCACATTGCGGTGCCAAATTTGTGCAGTGTGAAACAATGTGGTGTTAGAATGTAATGCTAGATGCTTACTAACAGACACCCGATCACGTACCTCATATTTACATGCTTTGGACAGTCACAGAAACACCAAGCATTCTATAAACAGTGAATTCAGCATTTGACAGAAAACATGAGACCTGGAAGAAGAAACTGTTTTGTAGTTACTTGCATAGCATAGGCCGAAAGCTCCATTAATGAAAAACTTGATCGTAAAGGGCAGGGCAAGGATGCGTGGTGGCAATGGGTTGCATGGTGTATTCGTCCAATCAATGACACTGACAGCCCTTAAGGCATTTTTCAAAACATTTTTCTTCTTTTGTGTTCATACTGGTTTGGGATGACAGAACATTTTGGGGAGAAGAACCCAGTGCATGGTTTCCTACAGAACTAGAGAATAAAAAGTTCTCTGCGAAATGTGAAGGAATAATTAACCAAAAGTGAACATTTTGTCATTGTTTATTCATCCTCATTTCTCCCCAAAGGCACATCTACCACAATCCCAGCGGTATGAAATCTGTACATGGAGATTAACAGCAAAAGTTGTAATCGTAACTATAGTGACATTATCAGTGCCCAAAGAAAACCAAACATAGTGATGCCAGAACTTCAAAGCCCTGTGGTCTCTCTTGGGAGTGCGCATGCCTACTTTCAAACGTTCACTCACCCCGACTCCAGTCCACTCCAGCCCACTTCCCACAAGCTTATCCATTTATAATAGAGCCCGTGGCTGCCAGATTTCCAACTTTTCCGATGAATTCATGTTGGGGTTGCCGCAGGGGGATAACCAAGTGCAGACAAGGGCTCCGTTACTGACGTTATCGGCCCGTTTTCCCCCCAGCCCACACCTCCCTATCATCCCTCGATCTCTGGCTGGTTTGTCAGCGATCTCCCCTGTCACCACGTTCTCTCTCTACTTGCCTTGGCCACTATTTCCAACCTTTACGATCTGAACGTGTCTGTTAGTCATCTGGCAGGGGCTGGGTTCTCAGGGCTACCTGCGAGGCCCGGGGTTCGATTGTTGGCTGCCACCATGTGAGAGTGTCCCACGCACCGGGAGGAGCAGCAGACAGAAACACTTTCCCTAAAACTGCTGAGATTAGTTGTTATTTTGGGCTAATGGTGCCTGAGGGAGAGATTGAAGGCAGGGAAACTGAGTGAGTCAACTAGAAAAACAAAGCGACTCGCTTACGAGGATTCTTTCATACTTTTGTCACTAAGTTGTCTCCTGGGTGGCCGTTTGGTTGGAGAGTTGTGCGCCGCTAGTTAAAAGTTGTGTAATGTCATGGCGAAGCATATTTTCCTCAGGCACAAATCGTTTTTGCGCATTTTTATTGCCGTTTGCGATTTTTCTCATAATCAGGAATTTCCAGATGTTTTTGCCTTAATGATGCTTTTGAGGTTGTTTGACGTTTGACTGATATGTTAAACCTACAATTAAAGATCTCAGAGTCCAAGATTCTTAAAGAAAACTGCTTTGGCAAGACAAACAATGGATGTCTTGTCCATAGTATGTGTCCTTTCAGCCCTTTCAGTTGATTACGGCACGTTTTTAAAGAACTAGATCTGCATGCAAATCATATATCACAAAATACACTCTCTCCTGTGCTCCTTTCTCAGGTGTATGACAGAGAACTGGAGAAGGCTGAAGGCTTTGAGCAGTTGGCTGATTTCTGTCAAACGTTTAAACTTCACCGTGGAAGAGTCCAGAACGAGAGTGAAGACCCTTCTGTTGTTGGAGAGTTCAAGGTAGGGTCACTCATAACCTCTCAGCTACTATCAACTGCTATCACATTCAGTCTCCAAGAGGAAAAAAATTCAGACGGCACCAGATGAAGCAATGGATGGGTGCCGTTGCTTATTAGCTAAGCTAATGAAAAGTCATTTGAATTGGCCCTTCTATTTAAAATGATCACATACTTGCCTCTGGCAGGTTCAGTCTGTACTTTGTCAAATTGAACATTCAACAGTTTGTTAATTTAGAGCGTTCTGCAAGAGATCCAGAGTCATGTGCCATTCTTTTGGTAAACTGTCTAGAACTCCTTGCCTTCTTTACAGACACTGTCTCTTAAAAATAGAGGTTCTTTAATGGTTCTGGGAACTTTAGGTCACTTTAAGGCTCTTACCAAGAACCATGTTATGTTGTGTAGGGTTGCTGAGCCAAGTAGTAGTTTTAGTAAATTTGTTATGTCATACGTTCAGTTGTAGTATTATTATTATTTTAATATTTATCTTTTTAGATAATGAAAGTATGACAGTAATATGGGGTTGGAACTTAAACTTAAAAATATCCTCCTGTGGCATCCGGCATATGACTGTAAAACCCATTTTTGGTTCTAATTGGGACCTTTAATTTAAAGAGTCTAGATGCTTTTTCCTGGTTTATTTGGATTACAACTGGTTTAGTTCTAGTAGGATTTGAGGGAACTAAATTTGAGGGATTTAAGTGTAATTTGAGGTTTGTCTGGAGGCCCCAGACAGCAGGTCTCCAAAAAAAAGTCAAACTAAATTGCACCATGAGTTACACTGACTCCTGTCCTCCTTCAGGGCTCATTTAAGATCTATCCGTTGCCTGACGATCCCTCGATGCCCGTACCCCCACGCCAGTTCCGCAAACTCCCCCCGAACGGTTTAGAGCAGTGCCTGGTGCGCGTCTACATCATCCAGGCCTATGGCTTACAGCCCAAAGATGCCAACGGCAAGGTAGGTACAACAACCAAA